CTCCCACAAAGCCAGAACATGAAGTAGGATCAAAACCCAGTGCCATTGTCCTTGGCTTCTCAGCAGCCCTCATTGTCCGCCATATTCAGAGAGTCCAGTTTTATCCCATGCTTTTTCAGTCGCAGACCAGCTGGCCTTGGTGAGCTCACAATAGATCAGCCCCACTGTCTCCGTGGGTGGGTGCACCCCTCGTGGTCCTGACTTCTTTTCTCATATTTTCCCTCCTTCTGCTCCTCCTTGGGACATTGGGAGCTCAGTCCGGTGCTTCAATATTTTATGACTTTTTAATACTCCTTTTCTTCTCTCTCCCAAGCCTACATATGTCTATCTAACACTATGACCCATTTAGAGGTCTTTTATGTCTGAATCTGCCCTATTGCATTGTCTTTAATTCTCTACTGTCTTGAAGAACTTTTAAAATTTTAAGCAGCTTGGTTCCAGCTGCTCTGGACGTTGGCTCCACCTCTCTCCGATTTCAAAATGGTGGACGTACCATTTCTGCTAGCTCTGGGGCCACCAGTTTGGAGCCACATTCAGCACTTTAACTCTGAGACTGAGCCTTTTATCTGAGTTACAGCCAAATCTGCCATGCAGAGCACTGCACAGCCTGGCCTATTGTAAATCTCTAATTCTTTACTATACAGGAGCACTTCTTAAAATGCTAAGTGCTTCTTAAAAACTTTAGCTTGCACCATGTTGGGGTAATATGGTAATGCCTGTTTACTGCCCATTCTAAACCTTAACTCTGCTGTTATTATGATAATTATGATAGTTCCTGCCTGAGTTCAGCACAGTTCAGCATGATGGAGCCATTTGCTGCCCCTGAGCCATGTGCAGTTCTAGGCACACGGCAGTCCACATTGCCATCAAGAAATAGCACTTTACTCACAAAACCCCATTCAGAAGCTCTGTCTCCCACAGGAGCCAGAGATCGCACTGGCGGCACAGCCCAGAAACTGGTATTTCAAAACTGCCACTTTGTAGTAGACTTGATCCCACTGCCTACCCAGGCAGGGAGTGCCAGCCAGGCCCCAAGTGGGCATAGAATAGCATCGCAATTAATAAATCTTACAACAGATCATAATGGGAAAACTGCTGTTGGTAGTTCTTGAACTAGTGCTATCTTTTCTGAATTGTATTTTTATCCTAGTCAAAAGTAGCCAATTCATTTTTAACTATGTTGAGAATATACAGCAATTTTTCTTTATTTCTCTGCAAAGTGCCATTTCCCTTGCTTTCAACATTGAAAGAGAATCTTGTAAATACCAAAAGTTGTCCTGTTCAAACTATCTCCCCTTTAGTCTAAATAAGAAAAACCTACCACACTGCATAATTAGTTTTAATACCTCAATTGATGGTTAATCTTGATTGTCAACTTGAGGGGAATCTAGAAACACATAGGAGACAAGCTCCTAGACACGCCTATGAAGGATTATTTAGATTAGGTTGATTGAAGTGCCCACTGCGATGACACCATCCCATGGGCTAGAGTCTTGGACTGAATAAAAGGGAGAAAGACAAGATTCATTATTTTATACATGAATACTGTATTTACATAATTTTCCTACTCCACCTCCTCCCAGCACGCCCTTTCCTCAAATTCATGTGTTCTTATTCTTTAGTTATTATCGTTACACATTGCTTTAAAGCCCAGGAAGTATATCTTGCTCATTATTCTCAAATTGGATACTTAGTGATTTATAATCAGGTGCATCTTGAAAGTAAACTGGTTGTGAATATATTAATATAACTATGGAATATAAAATATTTCTGAGTTCTAATTATTAAATTATCCTGTAAGTAATTAAACTATTTCTAGCCCTTACATTTGTTTTCTCTCTCTCTTTTATTGATTTTTATTGAGCTCTACATTTTTCTCTGCTCCCCTCTGTGCCTCTCCCTTCCCCCTTCAACCCTCCCCCAAGGTTCCCATGCTTCCAATTTACTCTGGAGATCTTGTCTTTTTCTACTTTCTACTTCTCATGTAGATTAAATCTATGTAAGTCTCTTTTAGTGTCCTCATTGTTGTCTAATTTCTCTGGAATTGTGGTTTGTAGGCTGGTTTTCTTTGCTTTATGTTTAAAAACCACCTAAGAGTGAGTACATATGATAATTGTCTTTCTGTGTTTGGGTTACCTCACTCAAAATAATGTTTTCTAGCTCCACCCATTTTCATGCTATATTCAAGATGCCATTATTTTTTTCTGCTGTGTAGTACTCCATTGTGTAAATGTACCACATTTTTCTTATCCATTCTTTGGTCGAGCGGCATTTAGGTTTTTTCCAGGTTCTGGCTATGACAAACAAAGCTGCTATGGACATAGTTGAGCACATGTCCTTGTTAGCCCTTACATTTGTACATCCTAACTTCACCTCATAACTGTGCTTTAATGCACTACATTGAGCAGGTGTGTTTTGAACTTTGTCAAGTGTGTGAATTTATATAGGTGATGCTATAGTAATAGTAACACCACATAATTTTAAGCATATTCCCAACCTTTGTTCACTCCTCATTGGCTGATTCTGAAAGAATACCATATGAAATTGGTATATTTATTATTCACAGTTCATCAGTGTGGAAACTGAGGCACAAAGAAGTTAAAACATTGCCTAGGATTACACAGTGGGAAAAATATTGGGAAGTAAGTCAAATTTAAACATGTTAAAAATACTTTTATTAATTCTAATATTGATTTTTGTTCTATCTTTAACTTTTTTTTTCTAGTTGACTTGGAGCATATGCGAACAGTAAAACCCGATAAACACTTACGATTTTGCCAGGAAAATGGTTTTAGTAGCCACTTCGTTTCAGCCAAGACAGGAGACTCTGTAAGTAAAACGGTAGAGTGTGTTGTAAGTGATGCTTTGTCTTCAGTTGTTCCTGGGAGTACACTTCTGATTCCTAATAAGAAATACTGGATGTGTTCGGAAGGAAGACATAAATAAATTAGATGAGAATGCTTATTTTGGATAGATTAATTTTATAGTTCATTTAGTAAGAATTATAAAGTACCCAAGTCACCCATAACCCAGCCTCCAGAGATATGCATTCAGAGTCCAAGAGGATTCTTTAGTGTTTTTCCTCTGAAGGTCTCACTGTCATTACTGCTGCTTCCTGTATGATGGGTGTTGCATTATCCTGATTATCTCTATTGTGTAGGTGTATCATTTAAAGCTCATGTCACAGGTCTCAGTCTACATAGATATTATGTGGTAGAGATACGGTTTGTGAGCCCAAGTAGTGATATTCCAGGCCCACTATTTTAACCATATCAAATGTTCACTAAACATTCAGATCCTTATCTAGAAATAGTTTTATAGTTGTTTCTTTTATTTAGTATTTTTATCTGTAAAAAACTTCCCATGTCATTTAGTATTATAAAGTAAATTTAGTCATTATTAAATGTTCAAAATATATCTAATCATGCCCTATTGTTGGACATGTAGGGTTTTCTTTTCTAAGTTTCAATCATGAGTTTTATTATGAAATTTTGATAATACATTTTGATGCTTTTTTCCCCTTCCTTCCTTCCTTCCTTCCTTCCTTCCTTCCTTCCTTCCTTCCTTCCTTCCTTCCTTCCTTCCTTCCTTTTTTAAAGTTTTTTTGAGACAGGGTTTCTCTGTGTAGCTTTGGTGGCTGTCCTGGAATTCTCTCTGTAGACCAGGCTGACCTCAAACTCACAGAGATCCACCTGCCTCTGCCTCTTGAGTGCTGGAATTAAAGGCATGCACCACCACTGCCTGGTGCTTTATTTTCTTTATACTCTTTGACAGGGGATTGAAGCATGTTATTAGATGCTTACCAGAAAGACTAAATTAACCTATTCTACAGAGCAATTCTATTCTACAGAGTTTCCTAATATTATAAGATTGCTATGTAAACCCTTGTAATACTAAGGATTTAATTGTTCTTAAACCTTTGCTAACGTTGTAGATCAGTACAAATAAGAATACAACAATAACAACAATATAAACCTCACTAATTTTGAATTTCTTCAATGAGTGTTTAGGTTGAAATTTATAAAATTTTATTAGCTATCCACTTTCTACTTAACAGCATATATTTTTCATTGGCTTAAAAATACTATTCCCATATTTCATATTATAGATAAGAACAGATTGTTACATGTCTTGCAAATATTTATCACTGTTCAGTTTTTTTTTTTCCCCTGAGACACGGTTTCTTTATGTAGCTGTCCTCAAATTTGCTCTGTAGATCAGACAGGCCTTAAACTCAGAGAGCACTTGCCTTTGCCTCCCAAGTGCTGGGATAAAGACCTGAGTCAACACACTTGACTGCTATCCAGGTTTTGTTTGAATTAGTTTTTTCTTTTTCTTTCTTTTGGTGCTGGGACTCAAATCCAGGGCCTTGTGTATGGCTGTTGATTAAAAAAAAATTGTTTAAGTATTTATTTATTAATTTATTTTTAATTAATGTGTGTATGTTTGCCTGTTTGAGTCTTTTTATGTGTCCCACATGTGTGCAGGACTCCATGGAAACTAGAAGAGGATATAGGATCCACTAAAACTGGAATTAGCCCGTACTTATAAGCTGCCCTGTAGGTGCTGGGAAATAACCCTAGGTCCTCTTAACTTCTGATCCATCTCTCCACTTCCCTAGAAATAATTAAGTTAGTAAAGTTGGGACTTATATTCAGTAAGTGATCCTGAGATGAATTGGGTAGGAACCTGGTAGGACAGTTACAGAGCAAAGGTAAGTTACATAGCAGAAATGGTCATGCCGCAATCTCCCGAGATTGTAGAGGACCTGGAAAAAGCCATCCACTTCTGAAAGACTGTTTATAGAAATGTTCATAATGTATAGCTGTAATGGACTTTATCACTCCTTTACCCCAAACTGATAAAATACAGTAAATAGTACCAAGTTGTTTTACTTAAGGAATAATGGAGAGTTTTGACATTGATAAGAGAACCAAAAGTGTTAATGGTTTGGAGAGAAAGACCTGTTAAAACAGACTAGAGCCAGCTCAAGAGAACAGCATAGAACTGACAGTCAAACACCGGTACAATAAAGTATACATGAATTTACTTTCATTTTCTTCAGGAATTGTAGAATTTTATAATGCTTTTAGATGTGTTGGCATGTTTTTTACATTTGTCATTGTAATTAATATGTTAAATCCTTAAACATGGGGCTGGAGAGATGGCTCAGCTGTTAAGAACACTTGCTGCTCTTGCAGAGGACCTAGGTTTGGTTCCCAGCATCCACATGGTGCCTTTTAACTACCTATGAACTTCATTTCTAGGGAATCTGACAACTGCTTCTGACTTCTAGAGGTACCAGGTACACATATACTATGTATGTATGTATGTATGTATGTATGTATGTATGTATGTATACACACACATGCAGACAGAATACTCAAACACATAAAATAAGAATAAATCATTAAAAATTCTTTAAGAATGTTTTTAGTAGATGCAGGTTTAGAATAATTCAGTGGATTACTTGGGTCTTCAAATTGTGGTTTAGTCCTTTAAAAATTATTTCATTTTATGTGTTACCATATATGACATATGGGCCATTTTTGAAGTACTTGTTTATTCTTCTGTAGAAAGTTCAGTGTATTTGAAGGTAACTGAAGCATGCCTGCTTTAAATCATTTAAACCTATTTTGTTATGTAGGTCTTCCTGTGTTTTCAGAAAGTTGCTGCAGAAATCCTGGGAATCAAATTAAACAAAGCAGAAATAGAACAGTCACAGGTGATTATCTTAAAATTTATATTTTAAAAAGTAACAAATTTCTTGCGACACTAATTTTTATGCATCAATTCTTTCCCATTTATTTTATGTATAAATCACTAAAACCTTGGAAACAGATTATATGTATAATGACTGTTTATTGTAAAACATGAAAAAAAAATTTTTATAAAATGATGATATTCATGTAATTTTTGTCCCATTTGGTGGAGAAAAGGGAATAAAAATTTTATTAGTTCTTTCTTAATGGATTAAGGTTCAGAGAATCCTGTCTTGTATTTCTTCTTGCTTGAGAGAAGACCCCACTCTGTATGTAGCCTCTCTTGGCTTACTCCTGCCTTCCTCTCCCATGTGCAGGGATTTTAGACCCTGCTTGAACTTTTTCTTTGGGGTTATCTTTTTATCTTTAAAATATATGTAATAATATTATTTCTTTATATTATTTTGTTATTTTAATAACATTATTAGTTACTAAAGTTACTAGACAATATCATAAGTTAATATCAGCATCCAAGAACTTAAAAATGCCATTGTAGCTTCTCTGTAAATCATACATTTCATAAAACAAAGACTTTGAGTAAGAGTAATCTGGTTAAAAGCAACAAACTTTTTCATAAATTCCTCCATCTACCGTTCCATGCAGCTAAAAACAATTGTTATCTTTTCACATCTTTCAATATTTACTTGGTTATTTCATAAATTAATTCTGTGATGTACTCTCATGGTTACACCTATGTGAATGTGTTAAAGCAGTTAGAACTAGCTCCCTTTTCTCTCCCAATAGCCCCCTTTTACTTATGTATCCTACGTATTTGTTATATATGTATAAATATATAACATATGTGTATATTATATATTTCATGCCAGATATTTTCTACAGAAAGGTGTATGAGAGAAATAGTATTTCTTTGTGATTCTTATCTCTTATTCCTCTTAATATGCCCATCTCCAGTTCTATCAGCTTGCCTGGAAATGGCATACTTTCATTCTTCTTTTTGGCTGAACTTAATACAAAGTGTACATGCATCCCACCTCTTTATCTGTTCACCTGTTGCTTGATACCTAGACTGATCCATAGTAATGTATGTTATGAATACTTCTATGAAAATGGGTGTATAAGTTTCTGTATAGTATGTTGACTTAGATTCCTTTGCATGTATTCCAAAGAGTGATATAGCTGGATTGTATAGTAAGTTTAGTTTCAGTTCTTTGATTTTTGTAGTGGCTTTCCCTAGTTTACATTCCTACCAGCAGTTTATAAAGGTATCCACTCCCATCCTTGCCAGAATTAGTTTTTTAATCAGTAGCCATTCTGACTGGGATGAGATGGAATTTCAGTGTAGTTTTGGTTTGCTTTTTCCTGATGGTTAAGGACATTGAAAGCTTTTTCATGTATTTATCGGTCATTTGTACTTCTGTATGTATCTCTGATTGCCTAATTGTATATTCCATGAATAGTGCTACATTCCAATTCCATTCCTACTCCCCTATTTCATGAATAGTGCTGCAGTAAACATGGATGTGTAGGGATCTTTATAGTATGTTGCCTTAGGGAAGGTAGTATAGCTGATCATATGATAGGTCTATTTTTAGTTCTTTAAAGACTTTCCATACTGATTTTTTAGATTATTTGGAAAAACTTATATTCCAACAAGCAGTGCACGGTTCACTCCCCCTTTCCACATGCTTACCATATTTATTGTCTTTTGTTTTCTTAAATGGTAGCCATTTTGACCCTGGTAAGATAACATCATGCCATAGTTTTGATTTGCATTACTCTGATGACTAGGATGTTGATCATTTTTTCATGTTATTTTTACTTGCCCATTTACAGATCGGATTTTTTTGTTTGATCAGTGTTTCTGTTTGTTTGTTTGTTTGATTTTAATATATTGTAGATAAAGAATCCCTTATTAGAGGTATAGCTGGCAAAGATTTTCTCTCATTTTGCAGGCTGTCACTTCACTCAATTCATTTACCTCGCAGAAACTGTTTCATATTCTTGATGTTATTTCCTTAGTTCTTTGCAGAAAGTCTTTGCCTCTGTCTGTATCTTGAAGAGTCTTCCTTCTATGTTTCCCTTAAGAGCTTCAAAATTCCATAGTAAGTTCTTTGGTCCAGTTTGAATTGACTTTATGTAGTATGTTTTGTGCAGGATAGGTATATACTTTCATTCTTTTCCTTGTAGATATCCACACATTCCATTCTTTTTCTATCAACTCCTTAAATTCATGTTTTCGAACAGGTTAAGACTTCTGAGTGTGGTGATGTACACCTATAATCCCAACACTCCAGAGGCGGAGGCTGTCTGATTTTTATGTGTTCAAGAACAACCTGTTCTATATAGCAAGTTCCAGACCTGCTAGGGCTACATAGTGAGATCCAATTTCAATTGAAAACATTTTTTTGAGATCTTAGACACAATACACTTAAGTCTTATGCTTTATAGAATAGGAGATTGTGAAGACAGAGGACATGAAACTTTAGTGCAAAGCTGTGAGTGTTACAACATACAGTGGTCTGTTGTATGAAAGGACAGGAGATTTATTATTACATTAGTGTTTAGTGTGAAAATTACTGTTTTTAAACACGCTGCATCCATGTGTCATGTGGTCATCATGTACTTTAAATATATTAATAAAAAATTTATGGGGCTGAGCATGTGTGAGGCACTGGGTTTGATCCCCAGTGTGATAAAATAATTGTTTTTAAAGTTCACAGATGTTTCTATGCTAGACTTCAATAGTACAAAAGCAGAGATCCCCTGCTGCTTATGTAAATGTCTACAATTCCTAGTGATTCATTTTTAATATGTAATAGTAACAAGGGTTTTAGCTTTCATTGTCTTTATCTTATCTCCTGTAATGGTAAGTATTATCTGGGTTAAAGATGCAGCTGTGTAAAGTTAACCAGATTTAATTTTAACACTCTCCAAAGAGTCCATGTATTTTTACCTTTGACTCTCACTTCAGGTAGCTTTCTTGCTCAAGCTTTTGATTGGCCACACTTCTATCTTTAGCATATCTTGCAAATGTTCTTTGAGATGAGAATGAAGCTGATGTTCACTGATGTGGCTCCTTTCATCCTATGGTCACTTCATTATTTCCTTCCATTGACCAAAACAAAGAGACATTGACTGTACGTTATGGCTCAAGAAATAAAGGCTGGTGTTTTGTAGAAGTTTCTCTTAAAAACATTAAAATTTGTTAAATAAGTCATATATTGTCATTCCACCTATTATGTAGTTTTGTGATGTGGAAATGACATTTTTCTACTCACAATAAGTGAAGCTTTGAATTTGTAGACACTTTTTTGGTGCAGCTTCATGTTCAACAGTCAAAATCCCAAAGAAAAGTTACCTTGTGGGTTATTAATTAATTTGACAAAATGACTGATGAAAGCTAGTCATTTATGGTAGTTAGTACTTTGACCCCTATGTCTTACAGACAGGTCAGTAACCTGACTGGATTTATAAATAGGGCATAAACCAATGTTTTGTTTGATCAGTGACTTATTTGCTGGAGGTAAAAATCCCTTTTCTTCATTGTAATCTATAGTTTGGCCTGAAACAGGTTGAAGGAGTCAGGTTATGGCATACCTTTAATTGATGTGTCCTGCTTGCACCTCATCTGTCAGTTGGCCCTGCTTCTGTTGGTAGCATCACACCAAGTGCCTGGTAAATGAAGACACTGTCCAGAAGTTAATACTGCTCACTAGAGAACCTATGCAGAACTTAACTAACTTCACACATTTGAATACTTCAATGGCCTGCTCACTTACTTGCAGTGTTTATCAAATCTTTATTAAGAAATATCTTCACTTAACAGCCACTCCAGTTAAATGTGTTTTCATGTGTATGTTAATAAGTGACTATATGGGGTTAGGAAGGGAGAACTTTCTGAAATCAGGTTCATGCAGCCAGGAAGAGAATATTCCTGGTTTCAAATCTAAAGATGTGTGGTTATAGGAACTTCTCTATACATGGCTATCCCACAAAGACCTATAACCAAGGACAGAACAACTATTGTATAATACCTTGGTTTTGTTTAGTTTCTTGAAAGAAACAGCTGATGCACTTTAATGTTGTATTTCATTTTTTTATGTGACCCACAACTTTTGTTGTGATTTGCATTTGTTGTTGTTGCATTTGAAGTGATTTCTATATGAATTTGGAAATATGGGATCAGGAAGAGTGAGAAGTAAGCATCAGAGGAAATCATGGGAGAATATTAAGTATAAATATGAAATTTCTAAAGGGTACATGTCTACCTCTGATTTTTGAAACAACAGAGTTTCTGTCCTTCTTTGTGTCCTTAGAGCATTACACTCACTATCAAAGCACTTAACTGGTGTGACAACTGGTTGTGTGTTCTTTGCCCACTAGGTCTATAATAACATGTGAATAAATCTTTCAGGTGGTTTGCTTATGTACGCCTAGCACAGAATGGCTAACAGTAGAGCACTGGTAATATTTGTTAAAGGAAATGAATAAATACTTCCATTTCACTTTAGCTTAAACAAGTGCAATAACTCTTTATAGTCCTCTGTAGCACTGAGAAGTTCAGGGGCATCTGTTTCTGTGGTTGAACAGAATTATAAAGTATAATACTTATTGGATCTTTCCTACTTCTCTTTCCTTTTATGTGTAAACATCCTGCTGATTCTTTTGTGACATGTTTAAATTCATGTGTTAATTTTCTTTTTTTCTGCTTTGGTGTTCACTTCTATTGTCAGTCATTAAACATGCTTTTCATTTGTCTTTCTCTCTTTTTCTTTCTCCTTCATTTTGTTTATGTTGTACGGAATTGCCAGCGTATTGTAAGGGCAGAAATAGTCAAGTACCCGGAAGAAGATAATCAACACCCCAGCTCTTCTCAGAGTAGAGTCTGTTCAGTACAATAGTGCAGGTACTTATGGGTGAATTACTGCCATTTGGGGGTGGGGTGGGGACTAGTTATATTATCTGTTCTTCCTTATGAAAGAACGTGATAAATAAAATGATAGAAGTCATGATTTAGAATTTTGAAAAGTTGGTCCTTTGCCAAGAAACTTACAAATTAAGCAAGAAATTGAGAACAAATTAAAATACCATTTCAATTACTTTCAAACATGTTGATCTTTATGAATGTTTATCACAGTACAGAAGATTGAAGCAGTTATTTCATTGCTAATTCCTATACTACTTTTCCCCTGAATAGATGGTAATTGAAAGCTTATTTTAAATTACTTTAAAGAAAGGCTTGAACTGCCCTTCTCTGTTTGTATGCATAGATTTAGTAAAAAGCTGAAAGCAATAGAGGGTTTGTTTTAATTTGCATTTTTACTGAGAGATGAGTATTAGACAATTTACTAAATTCATTGATTTAGACTGAGTGTGAGATGGAAGGAGGAGTGAAGGTATCTTTTGGTTTAAATTGATTTACAGGCATGGATATGAGGTGATTTTCTAAATTCCTCACTATGTCATATTTTATTAGAGTCATTATGCATAAAACATAGTGAACTATTTTGAAGTATTTTTTTTTCCGAAGTAAGTATTTTGAAAGGAATGTTTTGAAAACTGGAAACGTTTTTAACAGTGGGGTTGCTCAGGTCACTCTGCTTTCTATGTGGGTCCTTTAAAACATACTTCTTTTTTAAACTTACAGAGTTATATTTAAGGGTAATGACCACGAAAAACTAAAAAATAATGAGAACCTTAGCAATGCTGATGTCTTATCTATTTACTAAAATGAATGATTTTAACTTTAACTAAAATTAAAACCAGGATTTAAATCTTTATATTGATTTGTGAGTTTTTAATAAGACTTGTGATAACCTCAGTTAATGCTAACAAAAAGGCATGACTCATGACTGAATTGCTTCCTTAAAAAAAAAAAGAAGATAAATAAGAAAACCCTAAACATGGCTATGTATTAGTTCTGACCAATTGTTTTCAGTACCAACTTCTGTTTCATCTATGATGTTTGTTATTAGAAGTTCACCAGAGCTCAGAAAACAAAAGATGTTCAGGAGCTTTTTCTGATGTCCTGATAATATCTCTTTTCTTTCATGGCAGAGGGTGGTGAAGGCAGATATTGTAAACTACAACCAGGAACCCATGTCAAGAACTGTTAACCCACCTCGGAGTTCCATGTGTGCAGTTCAGTGAATACACACTGTGTTGATAGTTTTGGTTTTCTTCCCCAGGATTGGGCCCAGACTGTAAAGGAACATGTTTTATCAATGACCATTCTGTAGTCAGTTCATACTTTCCTCTTGCTCTGCTCCTTCATCCTTAAGTTGCCTCATAGTAGCAGGCAGTTCCCTGGACTGGAAGGAATTCGGCTTCGGGACCTCACATTTTGAAATCTGAATGAAGAGAGTCCATTCTCTGGACTGAAACTGCCTCTTCGCTCCAGAAGAACCATGTGGCTTATGTCCTTACTTCTTTTTTCCTAAATACAAAAGAATATAATCAGATGTGAAGATGTTCCAAGCTATGATCATCATTCTATATCTGAACTCATGTATGTGAAAGTCTACTTCAGAGTACTGATGGTGACAGTTACTCAAGAAGGTGTTCCTTTGCTGGCTATTAAGAGAAAATATACAAAGCTTCATTTAATTGAAAGTGCTTCAAATGAGGCTGTAATAGAAATATTTTTTCATTTTTAAAAGGAGTTTAACTTGTTTATATTGTAGTTTATAACTCACAAGTAGTATTTGATATTGTATTTTATTACTGTATCATGGTCATTGCATATTTTATCATATTTGGCTTAGATGCTTTATGAATTTTGATAAATGGTTCAGCTGATTCTCCACATGGATCTCCTACAGACTGCATGAGAATGCTTTCAGATGAGTCATGGCATCCTTGGATCATTGTGGATCGATCATACTGTACCTGATGTTCAGATGTTTTCCTCTCATAAATAAATTTATTTAAATTATGTTTTCGAGAATTTTCATTCATTCATCTTCCTTTTTGTTACAGTCAAACAAAGTAGATTTGAACACATAGGTAGCAATCCTGAGGGTCTAGTGTGCAGTCAGTCATTGAAGAGTTCCTAGTTTATTTTGCTGGTGTGATTATAATTCAGAGCCCAAGACCTGCCATTTCTGGGTCTCCATCAGCTCCAGCCTATTTTTCTACCTAATTTATGTCACTGTTGCCTCTGTGCACATAAAACTATGGATTCATTTCTATCTGTTGGCTCATACTCTACCCACTGCCAGGAATCCTCCCCTCCTCTCCTATTCTCTTTCTCTTCCCTGCCCTCTTTCATTCCCTCTCCCTTCTCCCACAGTATCTGCTGCCTGCTCTGTGTTGGCCATAATTGTGCTGTGTTTTGTGCTAATGTCCAATGCTCAGCACATCCTTGATTCTGAAGTAAGAATGAGCCACCTCCCAGTTCACAGACACATAAAGCTAGCCTCAACTCTATAGCTGAAAACTTAACATCTAGTATGGTTCCTTCACTTTCCTGTCTTGCAACACAAGGCACAACTTTTGTATCTCTGTGAGTATTCTATTATTTTTATAAGCCATGGGAGTACTCAGTAAATGACAGCTTTGAGTTCTTCCTCATATCCTTCAGTATAAGCAAATTTCCCATCTCTGGAGCTTCACTAAAAGTGTGTGCAGAAATTCTGGACATCTAAGTTTAGAGAGGTTAGAGATTTTAGAAAAGTTCATATCCTGTATGTCTAAGGAAACTAAATTAAAGAAAGAAAATTTGTCCAAGATGATGAATGTGAGACCTAGATCTTGTGGAACATCTATGTTTGCCTCTGACTGTACTGATTAGGTTGTGGGTTAATCTTTTACTTTAATTTTATTACTATTTTAAACTTTTTAAAATATTGCAGCACCCTTTTAAACTCTTTATCCTTGTCTAGCTTGCTGTTCCCATCAGCATGTGCCTAATGTTTGCAGGCAAGGGTATTTAGGAGAAGATAAAGTTGGATAAATGAGATCTGAACCCTCAGGGATTTGGGGGAACTCTTAGGAGAGATATTTGTTGGTGATGCTGTTCTAAATGCTGTGATTTAAGCCCATGGCTGAACTAGATTTGCCAAGGCTTTACCTTCAGTTAAGGGATAGGCCATACTTCTTTGGCCCTTTTGTTGGTTTTTACATGTGTATGAAAACTTGAAGACCTTGAGAAGCTTATCATTTTCCATGTGTATGTGATGGTACAAGATGAGCGCTGTGATCATCCAAGGACAGCAATCAGAAAGGTCTGTGGGACAGGGAAAATTCTGTAGCTGTCTCTTTAGAAAGTCTAAACTGACTGAATGAGCAGGGAGAGGGGAGAGACCGGCCTTTGTATGCTGGCTCAGGCATGGAGCCTTCCAGGCCTTGTCACACGAGCTGTTTTATTTTTATACCAATTGATGAAAGAAGAACCATCCCCTGACATGAAAGAAACTGGAGCTGAGAGTGAGTATCCTTGATAAGCGGCAGAACCAAGAGCCATACAAAATGTTTTTGATTGAGAACAGAATTCTGATACTAATCTTGCTTGCTTTACATTGCGGGAACTGAGCAAGCTGGGCTGTGAGTGGTCCTTTTGAGAAGTGGTGATTGTCCTGTGAGGCTCCATCCACTTTCTCTACACCTATCTCCTTGACCACAGAGATGATAAATTAGCCCCCTTTCCCCTTCCATCTTCAGCTCAATTGGCCTTCTATATGTCAGTTAAGCGTGACCAGTGACCACGTACTGAGAACCTCATTACAGGTAAAGCAAACACGAGCTGTATGCAGAACAGCTCAGGGGAAGCAGCTTCATTACCAAGTTTCCCTTTACCTTGAGGATTATTATGAAATAATAATGTAGAATCCATGCTTATTTTACTTTGACTGTTAACGTCTCCTGTCTACCGCTTTTAATTTATGAAATTATAAGTTTTTCCATCTCGTTTTAGACACTTTGTCTCTTGAAGGAACATGCTGTAATGTTTTAAACACATTGTGGTCACTTCTGCTGCTTATTGAGCTTTTGAAAAACACAAAGGTCTTTAGCCAGAACTGGCCATTGGATGCTGCCCCTCAAATGTCCGCTCTATTATGTGTGGCAAACCGCTCTGGAGTGGTTTTTGGCGTGGCCTGAAGAACTCCTGTGACTGCTTTATTATTCTGGGAGGAGGTAAGCCAGGGCCCTTTAGAGTTGGTCACTGAACAGTAATAGAGCATGATAAAATAAAATACAATGATTAAATGTTTGTGATGTTTAAAATAGAAAAGGGTTTTCCCATAATCTATGCTACTATGGGCTGTAACGCTGGATGTCCTAAACAGTTTCAAGATTTAAGGAAAAAGAAATGAAAGTCTGTGTTGGTAGTTGTCCATCAGCAGCCACAGTTCTTCCATTCTTGGTGGAATCCCCCTTTTCCAGCTACTCTTAGTTCTAGAACCTTCATTAGTTTAATCCCATTAGCATATAGACTTCATTTATATTGATGGTTGTCTCAGAGATAAGCTGATAATTCCTATCAGGACTAATGTAACAAGAGGATGTTTGTCCTCTTCCTGAAATAGAAGAAGAAAAACAACAACAACAAAACCCCAAACCAACCAAATAAACAAACAGAAAAACCCAAGAAAGTTTCAGAAGACTCTTACCCAGTAGAGAAGGATGAAAAAGAGTGTAGCTCTGAGGACAATTGCAGCACTCATAAGATGACAGAGGGAAAGGAGTGGGGTTCACTGTACAGAAGCAGGATGGGGGGAGGTCAGCAATAATACATCCTGGGATCAAGCTGGGCTTTGAGCTGTTGAAGAGCATTTACCAATTTTCCTTTATCATTTGTTCTAATGTTTATTTGTTTTAAAACAATTTTCTTGTCTAAGCAACTGGTCTGTACTAGATCTTTATTTTGCCTTTTAGATCTAGGTGCATGCATAATTTATCAAGGTGTAAAATCCATTATTATGATAAAATGTCCCTTATGAGAAGTATGCTTAAAAACAGGGTTTAGATAGGCGCAAACAGGACCAACAGCATAGCGCAATTGTCATCAAGAATCTGTAAGCTTAGGCTGCATTCACAGTCTGAGCATTTGGGTAGTCTGGAGTCAGCAGGTCAGCAGGGCTTGTGGTTCTGCATTTATATTAAACTCTCAAGTGATTTGCAAGAGATTGGACTATGCCCACAGTTTTCCACCCTTTCTTTCTTTCTTTCTTTCTTTCTTTCTTTCTTTCTTTCTTTCTTTCTTTCTTTCTTTCCTTTCTTTCCTTTCTTTCTTTCTTTCTTTCTTTCTTTCTTTCTTTCTTTCTTTCTTTCTTTCTTTCTTTCTTTCTTTCTTTCTTTCTTTCTTTCTTTCTTTCTTTCTTTCTTCAGGTTTTCTCTGTAGCTTTGGGACCTGTCTGTAACTAGCTCTTGTAGACCAGTCTGTCTTTGAACACACAGAGATCTGTCTGCTTCTGCTTCCCCAGTGGTAAGATTAAAGGCATGTGCCACCACTGCCTGACTTTTCTTTTAAGAAGATAACACCATATTCCAAGTAAATTAAGGGGATTTGACAACAAATGAAATAGTTGAAAGAAGACTATGCTTAGATAATATGGAAGGAGAAGGTCAGAATGAGACAGCCAAAAGAGTGGTATTTAGATAGATTAGAATGGACTCTAGGAGAACAGTGTTAATACTTCCTGAAGCAGGAAGAGTAGGATGAAGTAGAGAAGATTCAGTTTGGCCTAGGAAAGAACCTTCAAATGTTTGCTTCCCCAAGATGGATGTTTTTTTTTTTTTTTTTTTTTTTTTTTTTTTTTTTTTTTTTTTTTTTTTTTTTTACCTTATGTGTTATTGTACTCTTTTGTGACACAAATGAATGAGAAATACTAAGAGTGTAAGACAAGGAGGAGTGGTAGTGATGAGTAATTAATAAAGGCCTTCTAATCCAGTTTAAAAAGTTCTTTTGGCCAGCTAAAAGCTATTTGTGAATAATGCTTTTCCTGGCACACATGGGACCTTCCTACAAAGAAGAAAATCAGCATTCCTTTCTCAGGCCTCTTTACTTTTGTTTCTTGGGGAACCATTTTACTGTTTTCTTGGAACAAGACATTTTTTTCTGTCCTGGAGGGCCAGGGAAGTATCTGCAGCACTGGTGCTGTGAATGGTGGCACATGGTAGGTAGCCTGGACCAAACCCCTGCAGATTAGGTTGCATCCCTGTGCCTGTAAACCTCAGACTTTGGCTATAAAGCTGATGACATTGCTACTTGCCAAACTTTGTCAGAAGGCAATATCACAATGTTCAGGCTGGGGCTGGGGACATAGGGCACACAGGCATTTGCCTCAAGGAGCTCCTGGGCTAGAGGAATCCTGTGGGCTAGAGTGACCTTATGTCATCCTGGGTTTTCTGAGCTTCCTCCCACAGGAAATGTGGCACATTGACCATGTCCAGCAGGAGAGTTCACCTGAATTGGGGGGGAAATGAGGGGGTGAAAAGTGATCTCCATTTGAGAATGACAGCCCTCACACTCTTTCCAATGGGAAATGGACTTGCCTGTGTTATGACAAGTTTTGTGGACTGAGTTTAGGTCCTCACACTTGTGTTCTTTCTAGCCTGACAATGTACCAGCTTTCTGGGCTGGAGAGTTAGGAATGGGAAAAGGGAGACTGCCTCCTTGATTCCAGGATGTTTGCCCTACTCCCACACTGCACATGGAAGTAGAACCATTTGTACACTGTGTGGAAGGAACATGCCACTGTTCATACACTGGCACATTTACCCACTCTCCGTTTTACCTCTGGGATACCCCTTTAATCCTTAGTGGCACCCACAGGTTTTATGTGATGGTACTTGCTTGTACCATGTCTCTCAAGCCTTGCCTTTTTCACCAGTGAAGCCTTCAGCCCCTGACACCCAAGTTATTCCAACAGCCTCTTCAGAGGCTTCCACCATTGGCCAGTACACACCACTATGGGAATGAGTTTGCACATG